TTGTGGTCGAGTTAGGGTAGATGAGGAGGTAGGGATTACCTTTGCGAGTGTTTGTGTATCGAGCTCAATGAGACCATATGATTTATAGGTGCACATGAAGTCAGCCACGCACTTCATAAACCTGATATGCGAGAGAGAAAGAGAGAGAGATATGTGGGTAGGCTGATGAAGCGGTAGCGCAAGATGTGACCGTTTCACCGTGTATTCATTGTGGGACTCCATTGGAGGAGTCATGCTCTAGCTGCCTTAGGCTGCTGGGAAATGAGCTGGGATTTATCCAGGGATGCATTCGTGCAGAGCCCCAGTGTGGTTTGTAAGCAGTAGCTTAATACCATGCCAAAAATTACTCCGGGAGTGGAGTGTGGGTGATGCTCAAAGCACCGTGTGATAGCCAAGCTGGGTTAGCGTTGACCATAGCTGAAAATGCCAGCGACTTATCACTTCACTAAGTTCAGCGAATAGATATTTGAGAAGTGCGTAACAAATGCATACCCAATTAAACACGAGCGAAGTGCCTTTAAAAACAAGTGCGTCTGTGTGTTCGCTGTTCTTTGTTTAAGCGGGAAATGCATAAGTCGCTTAAACAATAACATATGCGTCGATAAACACCGTTGTGGAAGAAGACGAATCAGTTAATTATCCAACGGAATTTTTGAAATCGATTGATCTTCCAGGGATGACCCCACATACTGAATTGAAAATAGGTGTACCAATTATAACGTTGCGGAATATTAATCAGCTAAAACTCCGCAACAGTACGCGACTCGCAGTTAAGAAATTGATGAAGAACGTAGTGTAAGTAAAGATTTTTACGTGGCCTTTCAAAGGTGAAGAATTCCCATGATTCCGACCGATACACCATTTCAATTTTAAAGATTGCAATTCCCAATTCGATTGACATTCGGAATCACAATCACTAATGCTCAAGGTTATCCTTTGGAAAAGTGTGGTTTAGAGTGAGATGCGGATTGGTTCTTAGATGTTGCGTGTTCCCGTGTTGGCAAACCAGATATCCTTGATATCAATGCAGAGAATGGAAACACGACGAATATTGTGTGCACACAAGTACTTATTACAAAATCAAACTCATATGAAACGTATGCTTTGTTTCGTTAATAATTTATCATCCATGTAACAGGAATATGCCACAGCAAAGCGTGGCAGGGTATAGCTAGTATATCTATATATATGAATAATACGCGAAAGGACTTTTTGTCCAGGTCATCAGATCTGAACCATTCGGTTGAATTTCAAAAATGAGGTATCAAATTAAAGGGCTTGATATGTAGATGCGCAGTAGGCTTTTACTTTTACGAAAAGAATTGCCACCTTTTAAAAAATCAAGTTGAGATTATTTATAAATCAATATCATCATATCCCTATCCTTCGCTCGATTTTCAAAANTAAACACCGTTGTGGAAGAAGACGAATCAGTTAATTATCCAACGGAATTTTTGAAATCGATTGATCTTCCAGGGATGACCCCACATACTGATTTGAAAATAGGTGTTCCAATTATAACGTTGCGGAATATTAATCAACTAAAACTCCGCAACAGTACGCGACTCGCAGTTAAGAAATTGATGAAGAACGTAGTGTAAGTAAAGATTTTTACGTGGCCTTTCAAAGGTGAAGAATTCCCATGATTCCGACCGATACACCATTTCAATTTTAAAGATTGCAGTTCCGAATTCGATTGACATTCGGAATCACAATCACTATTGCTCAAGGTTATCCTTTGGAAAAGTATGGTTTAGAGTGAGATGCAGATTGGTTCTTAGATGTTGCGTGTTCCCGTGTCGGCAAACCAGATATCCTTGATATCAATGCAGAGAATGGAAACACGACGAATATTGTGTGCACACAAGTACTTATTACAAAATCAAACTCATATGAAACGTATGCTTTGTTTCGTTAATAATTTATCATCCATGTAACAGGAATATGCCACAGCAAAGCGTGGCAGGGTATAGCTAGTATATCTATATATATGAATAATACGCGAAAGGACTTTTTGTCCAGGTCATCAGATCTGAACCATTCGGTTGAATTTCAAAAATGAGGTATCAAATTAAAGGGCTTGATATGTAGATGCGCAGTAGGCTTTTACTTTTACGAAAAGAATTGCCACCTTTTAAAAAATCAAGTTGAGATTATTTATAAATCAATATCATCATATCCCTATCCTTCGCTCGATTTTCAAAAATGAGGTGTCAAATTAAAAGGCTTGGTTGCAGATGTGCAATGAGGTTTTACTTTTTGGTAAGAGTTGCCATAGGTATCAGTCGCAATTGTTATTAAAAGCTTTGCTTCTTAACTGTGCGAGTGTTGCCCCTGTTTAAAAAATCGAATTAAATTTTAAACAGGGAAATTACATAGGTAATTTACAAAATGTTCCCCCACAGGGGTCCAGACTAAAGGAATTTAAAAAGGTAGTAATTTTAAAATGCTTTGAAAAGGGTTGCCACCTGCTTTAAAAGCCGAATTTAGTTATATGCAGTATTAAAATATGGGTGTTAATCGAAAGAGTGCTAAGAAATCTTTAGTTTAAACATCAAAATTTTGTTTGATGGTTTGAAGAGAGTTGCCAGCAGTTGAAAATNGCAAACCAGATATCCTTGATATCAATGCAGAGAATGGAAACACGACGAATATTGTGTGCACACAAGTACTTATTACAAAATCAAACTCATATGAAACGTATGCTTTGTTTCGTTAATAATTTATCATCCATGTAACAGGAATATGCCACAGCAAAGCGTGGCAGGGTATAGCTAGTATATCTATATATATGAATAATACGCGAAAGGACTTTTTGTCCAGGTCATCAGATCTGAACCATTCGGTTGAATTTCAAAAATGAGGTATCAAATTAAAGGGCTTGATATGTAGATGCGCAGTAGGCTTTTACTTTTACGAAAAGAATTGCCACCTTTTAAAAAATCAAGTTGAGATTATTTATAAATCAATATCATCATATCCCTATCCTTCGCTCGATTTTCAAAAATGAGGTGTCAAATTAAAAGGCTTGGTTGCAGATGTGCAATGAGGTTTTACTTTTTGGTAAGAGTTGCCATAGGTATCAGTCGCAATTGTTATTAAAAGCTTTGCTTCTTAACTGTGCGAGTGTTGCCCCTGTTTAAAAAATCGAATTAAATTTTAAACAGGGAAATTACATAGGTAATTTACAAAATGTTCCCCCACAGGGGTCCAGACTAAAGGAATTTAAAAAGGTAGTAATTTTAAAATGCTTTGAAAAGGGTTTCCACCTGCTTTAAAAGCCGAATTTAGTTATATGCAGTATTAAAATATGGGTGTTAATCGAAAGAGTGCTAAGAAATCTTTAGTTTAAACATCAAAATTTTGTTTGATGGTTTGAAGAGAGTTGCCAGCAGTTGAAAATTTTGAATTTAAATGAATTATGAAGTTTAGCAAATTAAGTTAATAAATAAGTTAAGTTAAATAAATTACTTAAAGAGGTGATGGGTTTGAGAAGGATTTATATCTGAACTGTTTGGGAGAGTTACCAGGTGATAAAAAAATTTAATTCAATTTAATTCTTCAGGTAATTGAATTATGTATCAAAAGAATTAAAGAAGGTCCGCTCTTCGCAGAAGGTTGCCACCTGTTTAAAAAGCGTAATTTATTTAGCTTTTATACAATTTTAATGAAATATTTAAATATGAGTTTCAAAATAACGCTTTTTATTAAAACTTTAGTTTGAAAATATTTTTTGTTAGGGTTGTCATCTATTCGATTTTTATTTTGAGCGATAAAGTTCGGTAATTGTGTTATCAGCCGTCTCGATGAA